ATTTGCCACGTAGGCAGATAACGGATTTCTTGACGGATTCGCTAACGGAGGAGGGCGATCTGTAAGTTTTCGCGAAGTTGTGTATGTCGGGTATGAACTCGTAAATAACCCTATAGGTTGGGGGGTTTACTGTAGTTTGTCCTTACTTTAATTAGTTTAATTACTGAAAAGAAAAAAATTCATTCACCTAAAGATACAAATTTTTTTTTTCCTCTCCCGACGAAATTTCGTCGACATAGATCTATGCCGGCAAATTTTGCTGGATTAGGTTTCCCCCGATGGAATTCCATCGGCAGAGGTTAATTTCGTCGGGAAAGGTGTATGTACTTGAGCCAACAAAATTTCGTTGGGGGAGGTTGTTTTGCTTTTTTTTAAAATTTTTTTTTTTATAAATTTATAAATTATTTATTTTTTAAATTTCAAAAATATAAAATTAGTTCATTTACTTTTGTTTTTTGGCCAACTTCTTTAATTTAATTCATGTAATTAAGTAATACCTTAGACTTTATTTTAATTACTTTAATTACTGAAAAGAAAAAAAATTATTGACCAAAAGATACAAAAAAATTTTTTATACCTCTCCCCGACAAAATTTCGTCCGCATAGATTTATGCCGGCAAAATTTGCCGGATTAGGTTTCCTCCGATGGAATTTCGTCGGTAGAGGTTTCTTTCGTCTGGAGAGGTGTATGTACTTGTTTCGACGAAATGTCGTCGGGGGCGGTTGTTTTGGTTTTTTTATTATAAATTTCTAATTTATTTATTTTTAAAATTTCAAATATATAAAATTAGTTTCTTTACTTTTGAGTTTTGGCCAACTTCTTTAATTTAATACATGTAATTAAGTAATACCTTATCCTTTTTTTTAATTACTTTAATTAGTAATTATGTTTTAATTATTATTTCTTTAGTGAATATTAAATATTTTGCTGATTTCATAAATTACTTGGTAAATAGTAATTAAAACAATCATTAAAATATGTGTGTACGTGTACAATACTGTATTACACCGAGTCTTTAAGACGTATAGGGAAAACAAAAGTATTATTTAAAACGCATATGTACGTGTATAATACGAGTATTAAATGGGAAAATGATAAATTCTTTGTATGGGTAATAACTCTGGAAAAGTAAAAAACCAAAAAGGGACGATAGCTATATCTTGGTAACGGCCTAAATATAATAGATACTGCTCTAGACCAGTCTTACCGACAAAGGAAAATAAGGGATAAAAAATTTTAAAAACAAAAAGGCACCCATTAGATATTTAAAGAGAATAGTCGCACGGCTATACTATTTATTTTATTTAAAAGGACCCACATAGCGCCTAGGTGGCCCAATTTATTTATTTATTTATTTTAAAGAGTATAGACGCGTGGCTATATGCTACAAATAGAATATTTTAAAAGTACAGCCGCGCTACTATACGTCATAAATACCATAAACTGAATTTCTCTTTTTTAATTACTTTAATTATTATTTACTTACTAAAAAGAAAAAAATTATTGAACTAAAGATACTAAGTATTTTTTTTAAAACCTGTCCCGACGAAATTTCATCGTTACAGATCTATGTCGGCAAAAACTTGTCGGATTAGGTTTCCCCTGATGGAAGTTCGTTGATAGAGGTTAATTTCGTCAGGAGAGGTGTATGTACCTATGTCGACGAAATTTCATCGGGACAGGTTGTTTTACTTTTTTTAATTTTTTTATTATATATATATATATATAAATTTATATATTTTTTATTTTTAAAATTTCAAAAATATATAATTAGTTTCTTTGCTTTTGTTTTTTGGCTAACTTCTTTAATGGACATTGCCAGTTTTTTTAATTACTTTAATTAGTAATTATGCTTTAATTATTATTTCTTTAATGGATATTGCTCAAGACCAGTCTTATCAACAACAGAAATCAGGGCGAAAATTTTTTAAAAACAAAAAGGCACCCATTAGATATTTAAAGAGTATAGACACACGGCTATACTATTTATTTTATTTAAAGGGATCTGTATAGTGCCTAGGCTACACTCTACAAATAGAATATTTTAAAAGTACTATTCTTTATAAATACCATAAACTGAATTTCTCTGTTCTAATTACTTTAATTATTACTTATGTTTTAATTATTTTTTACTTAGTGAATAATTAGTATTTAAGAGTTTTAAGTTCAAAAAATTTAAAAACTAAATACTATTTATAGATCCTTCATTTATGGATAGTTGAATCTTGAGAGATAGATGTCCATTAAACTTCAAGTACTTAGAAACAACGAAATTCTGTCTTTAGGACATTGTCAACACGCACGCCTTTATCTGAAAATAAAGTCAGTGTTCTTTATCTTTATGTGTTATTCTATTCTGCATTTTCTATAATTTGTTCTTGTATAGACACATTACTTATTGTATTAATACAATGATTCTATACTCCTTAAATATATTATGTTTTCATTATTATGTAATGTATAAAAATAAAAATAAATAAAAAATTCCACAAAATAATTTAAAATAATTCATTACTATTTATTAAGTCATTTATGAAATCAGTAACATATTTAAATATTCCCTAAAGAAATAATTCAAACAAAATTAAGAATTACAGTAGTTCAAAAGGGCTAAGATATTATTTAATTGTGTATATTAAACGAAAGAAGTTGGCAAAAAAACAAAAGTAAAGAAACGAATTTTATATTTTTAAAATTAAAACAACAAACCTCTTCC